TCGCCTTCTTTTTCTCGAGCTCGACCCTTGCGACCTCTTCTTTCGCTGATTTTTCCTCTTCCTCCTTCTTCCTTTTTTCTTCCGCCTCCCTTTTGGCATCTTCCACCTCCTTCTGTTTGTCCAATAGTTGTTTTGCCATTCTTCCCACCGCACTCAATGAGTCCTCCAACTCTTTGCTCAACGATAATGTTCCTCCCTGTCCTCTGCTTCGTGGTCGTCCTTGCAACCGCGGGCATTGACTTTTGTAGTGCCCGACCTCGTTACATTCATAGCACCTCACTTGCCTTGCTCCCGCTTCACCATAACCCCTTCTCTCGTAGTTGTCCGCCGAACCTCCTCTTCTGTCACTGTGTCGGCGTTCTCTATACTCCTCCCTACCTTTGTCCCGTCTCTCATCACTACCACATTCTCAGCCACTCGTGTCATAACCGGCATACCCTCGACTCCCCATCTTCAATGGTATACGTCACGCCTTCGAATACTTCAATTTCGAGGTTTGGATTTCGGTCTCAGTACATTGCGCTTCTGTTGCTTCCACTGTTGTCGCCTCGTTTCACCTGTTCTCGATTAGCGGTCCGTCCTCTAGGTACCTTTCACCTTCCTTGTCATACTTTAGCTCCGTAAAGTCGTTGCTCATTGCCACCAGCTTCCAAGTAACGTCCCTTGGTTGGTTGCAATGCTCACTTCAAGTTGATTTGATGACGATGCATGACACACAAGACTCCATGCAGCGCGATAGTTTACAAAAGCAAACTTAGATAGATGTACCAATTCAAAACGAAACGAAAAGCGTGCTTAAAAATTGCCGACGAGCACAGGCACAACATCCGTCTGCGCATCTTACTATCCCCGATGCGTTTCGGTTGGAGCCAGATCCAGCCTCATCAGAGGGAGCGTCTCGTACTGAGAGACCTATTATTACGTACCCCCAGTTCTTATAGTCCGAGCGACGCTAAAAAAGAAGAAAATAAACCAAGCAAATCCACACAAAGCTCTTACTACTAAACCCTAGGACTACCAACTAAGCATTACCCCCCCACTTGGCCCTTAATTCACTCCTATTCATTTGCTGCCGATGTTTTGAGAACTGCCTTGGGCCTCCCGCAAGGCTTACGTACTAACCCACCTGCTGGACCTATATATCCCATGTAATCCTTCTTGCCATCTGCGCCCAATCCGGGGCCTGCTTCCTGGCAAACTTCCAGAGAGTTCCGTCGAAAAGCTTCGTCGGATAGTCCTGCCTCCTCAATTCGCGTTTCAGCATCCCCTCCTCGTTTTTCATTCATCGTTCCCGAGGGTCGGACCGTCAGATGAAGATCGCGAACCCTTGGAACAATATCCCAAAGTCCAATTCCTACTCCTACTTCTACAAACTTTTCAGTTTGTCTCTTTCCCCTTTTCAAGGAGATTCATGCCTATGTCCTAGCTCGTTTAAAAATAATCGTTTTTCCTTTACTTCCTATTCTCTCATTTTCTCTCATCGAGGTAAGCACATCCCTTCTAGTGCTTACGCGGTAGTATGGCTGAGATGAACTCATGCCATTGGCGGTTTTTCCCTTAGGAGTTTATCAATGAACTGAGTCTACGCGAAATTTTTTATTTTCTATTTTTTTTCCCCCGCGGTATTTGCCCTTTATTCTGCTTCATTTGGAGTCAATCCCGCTGGAGCACTCCCCTTTCCTTTCTCTTCTTCTTGTCCTGACATACGCAAGTAGTGGTTTGATTTACCCGGGAATCTTCCACTACTTTATCAATTCCAGACAGTCGATTAGACAAAGGAGTAGTCGAGTAGCTCCACGGGAGCAGTCAACCACTCTTCAAAGTTCATGCAGTCCTCACGCAATCAAGCATTTCAAACACTGTTATGCAAGCGACTGGATAACTCTCATGGGAGTATCATTTTATTAGTTACTACAAGTAGTTGAGAAAACCTTGTTAAGACACTTCCAACACTTATTCCTACATTCATCAACAATTCAGGCCACCTCTTTATCAAAGATCAATACAAAATTCAAGTTAGCAAAAGTGACCTTCACAGAGGTTTTCTATTACTCCTTGATCAGAGCCCAGTCTATTCTTAAGAGGGTAATAGGATAGCCCCTTGGGAGCTACCCTACTACTCTCTCAAAGATAGACGACCTAGGATTATGTTAGTAGACTCAAGCAAACACCAGGTCCTCTTTTTGCTGGAGTATCCTATTAAGCTTGTTAAGGTAGAGTCAAGCAAGCAATAGGATGACCCCACGGGAGTCCTCCTATTTCCTTCCTTACGTAGTAAGTAGTTTACCTTTAGAATATGGTCCTAGGGTAACCCAAATGGAAGTTTACCCTTTACCCATTTGATGATTAGATAAACCAGGTGTAAGTACCTTGTCAGAGAATAAATAGTAAGGTGAAATTTCCCCGCTCTTGTGTTAGTAGCCAGCTCAGGTCCGAGCTTGCATTAGGATGACCCCACGAAAGTTATCCTATGACTACCCAAATGACTGCGACTACCACTCCCTTAATCAAGCGATAGGACGACCCCACAAGAGCCTCCGATAACCTGATTCAATGTTAAACAGATTGATCATTAGTAACTACTCATGCCATCCATCAGTTATACCCAAACAAGTGGTAGGGTTACTCACTCGGGAGTATCCCTCTACTGTCCAAACACAATCACCTCATTTCTTCTTCTTCTTAGTTGATCTTTAGATCAAACAAGTATTAGGATGACCCCACGGGAGTTATCCTACTACCAGTTTGATGCGTAGGAGATCGGTCAAAACAACTTTTTAGTTAAGTTGTTCTGACCGATATGGCATATACAAACAAATATTCAGAGGCGCGGCGCGACCGGGAGCGCCTCGCCTCTCGCCCTGCCATCGGCCCGGGCTGTCGCGCGCCCGTGGAGCTTCGTCGTTTTCATGTTTGCTGGTGCGGTTTTTGTCGCACACCCGCGGTGCTTCGTCGTCTTCATGTCTGTTGGTGCGGTTTCGGGTGATCTCACGTAAGCATAAGGGTGATGGTGGTTGGGGATGCTATCGCTTAGCGCGCGGAGTGTATCCTGAATGACCATCAACGTGTAAGTATTCGCTTGGGTGCTCTTCCAGCTGTGCCAATTAGGAAAGTTGTCTTCGGCTCTGCGGTTTGTCCAAGTGGTGTTGCAGTCGGCAAGCTGGCGAAGGGGAGACTGTCGCTGGAAGAAGGGCGATCTCCATGAGACTTTGGTCATAGTTGAGGCCTTGTTTCTCTGTTTCTGCGAAGTGTTGAGGCGGTTTGTTGGGAGTCGCGGGCGGAAGGGAGGAATGCGTTCTCACGTGGAGTGGGAGGAGGAAGATCGTTCAAGCGCGGGCATCCGGAAGGGACTTCGACGACGTTTTGCTCCGACGAGGTGATCTTGTATTTTCGCATGGATGTATAACTATTGTTCTTGTCCGATAACTTTAGTAAGGGTAATCGGTATTGTTGTTAAATTCTATGACAATTCGATAATTACGATCGGGGTTATACTCGCAGCTATTTTCCAAGGTAAGTTCAATCTCTACGATCGGGGTTATATTCGCAACCTTTTTCAAGGTAAGTTCAATCTCTTCAATTACAATCTTAGTTTGGCCTTAGTTTCACTTTAACATCATCTATTATGAATCGTTAGCATATCTGTAGGAATTATCACGATAATTACGTACTTTTGTTTCTTGACTATACCCTTTAATAAATCCTGAGTGTTTATGAATTTTACTGTCATAGCTTAAATTCTGATAGTTTTTTTCGATAATTACTTTCTGCTCTCTAAATTGGTGGGAGTTGTCATATGTTCATTGGGCGCAAGGGGAAGGGGAATAATTGTAATAAGCTTTACTGTTGCCCTGCGCCCTCTTCAACGGGTCATTTGAAGAGAAAATTTCGAGCTTATTCCTGTGGGCTGGATGAATTATTTTAGAAGGGTAGAATTGGGAGAGTGGGGTGGATAGGGAGCGCTATCCTGCAGGGGATTCACAAGGAGGGGGGTGAATGTTTCAAAGAGGGTAGAAGCGGAGTTGGGGGTTTGTCCTGTTTCTAGGGTGGTGGGAGGGGTCAACATCGTCCTCAGTGGAGGCTGAAACGGGCAAGGGGTGGCGAGGGCATGTTTAGGAGGGAACTGTGTATCCTCGGGGACAGGGGTGGAGGGGGTTGGTCCTATATTGGGGCCGAGAGAGAGCGGGACGCTCGCCTCGGCGGGGGCAGTGTAGGGCTGAGGGGGTAGGAGGAGGGAGGGGTGATTTTGTTTTGAAGATTTCTAATCTTCCAGTCCAATAATTTTTTTCTCTTCAGTTATTCTATTTGGTTCACCTCGCGAGGACGTTGTAGGAATAGGTGAAATCTGGCAAGTCATCTTTGATCCTGCGTAGGGTGGTTGAAAATTCGGTGGCCCTTGATGATCGATGCTGAAGCGATGCTGGCCGGAGCCGGAGCCAGGTGGCGCAACTCTGTGACCTAGCTTAGTGGGGGCGTGAGACCTGGTAGAGAGATCTGGGGGGCTGTTTGCGGGGGCAGTTTCAGTGGTCATCGGGGGTCGTAACTGAAGCAATGCTGGCTGGCGCTGGAGCAAGGTGGTGCAACTCCGTAACCGAGCCTAATGGGAGCATGAGGCCTGAAAAAGCTTCGGTTCGTGCTGAAAACAGCCATGCTGGTGGTGGTCGCAGGTAGACTGAATAGGTTTCACCTATCTGATTCATGGTTGGGAGGCTTGTTGACAAACATTTTCTGAAGGTTTCTGAGTTTTCCTTTTTCTTCAATTGTTCATAGTCGAAGCCGGGTAATGGCCCCGGTAGTTCTTTTTGTATCCTGATAAGGGACGCTGGGCCCGATTCCCAGCCGTGTTGCTCCCCACGAATAAATTGGAGCATCGTCTCAAAAAAAAAATCTAGATGTGTATAAGAGACAGCTCTCTCTCTCTCTCTCTGTGTGTGTGTGTGTGTGTGTGTGTGTGTGTGTGTGATGACATGCATCATTTTGTCTGCTATAGAGATAACGCTGTTTCGATATTGGATCGGCTAATCTCAGCATGCATCATGTTGTTTGCTACAGAGGTAAAGCTGTTTCAATTTCCGATCTGCTCATCTGGGTGGAAAACGGGTTGTTGCAGTGACAGTTTACAACATCCACAAAGGCTATAATGGGAGAGGTTTTGGTGAGTAGAGAGGTGAAGTGCAGTTTTCTGTTCATCCATACTGTTGTAATGGTAGTTCAGTGATGAATCCCTGTGTCTGTTTCTCGGTAGCATCCTCAATCTTCTACTGGAAATCTTGTTAGCTACTAGGAAGAAGTGGATGTTGAAGCTGTGCATGTCTTCAGTGATTCTACTCTCTTTGCGGAAGATAATTGCAGCGGAAAGGGAGCAGCACTTCACTGAAGATTAATGTACTTGCATTTAGTTTTGTGCCTTGAGGACCAGCTGAGAATGAGGGAATGGCGTCGGATTTCAGGGGTGGTTGTTGAGGAGTTCAGAAATCCAGCAGAGCAAGAGAGAGAAGACAATTTGTGAGAATGAACATGATGAGATCAGGACTTTCTTTGATTGAAGGCGAGGGTGTAAGGCGTGGGGTCGGATTTCAGTTACTGTTGTCAAGGAGTTCTGTATTCCAGTTTAGGAGGGATAGATGAGAGTTCTCTCTACCACAGTTGTTGAATCTGTCCGCAGGCATACTCACTCTAGGACTTTCTGGGATGTTGCGGAAGTCCTCATGTGAATATGCACTGAGACATTGCTCAGAGCGACTGAGATCGGCAAGTGCGTTTCGTAGGAGTTTTTCCTTTCTCCCCAGCTTGAGAGGCGAAATGTAAGACATGTTCCGATACTCCCTACTTTGTGATCTAGGGGAATGAGACCGCTTTGTGCCTTGGAGCTCCAACCGCAGTGGTGAAGTCCCTACGTGTGATAAAAAAGAATAGACGGCGTTGTGTCTTGGAGCTCCAACCGCAATGGTGAATTTTGTTTTGCCCTCATCATAAGCTTCAATAAAAGTTACCTGAGCTTTTAGAGGCGACAACATAAGAAAGTTTGGGAATTTGTACAGTCCATGTATGGGGATATATTCACAGTCCAGGCATGTGTGTGTTGGGATGTTGGGGTGGGTGGCCGTCACCCACCTCTTCCACTTCCTCTCTGTGCTCCCCTTGGCCCACTGCCTTTCTCAATCGTGCAGCAGCACAAAGCGTGCTCTTTTAGTTGATGGATATGTGACAATATATGGAGGAAAGTGTCTAACAGTGGTCTTACCCAACCTGAATCTCAGTCTGGGTAAGAAGTATCTGTATTTAATGAAGTAGGAGCTAAGATCGTCTTAGTCTTCCACAGGGTGGGAGGTCCACATGGTGAACAAAGAAGAACTTATCTCAGTGCAAGAAGCATGGTAACCCCGGACCCGGACACCGGACACTTCCGGACTGTCTTCCGGACCAGTGTCTGGACCGGTCCGGACNGTCTCAAAAAAAAAAAAAAAAAAAAAAAAAGTTGTTCTGACCGTTCACCTCCCTTGCCTATGCATCGTGAATGAGCAAGAGGCATGCCGACCCCACGGGAGCCTTCACCCCTCTTATCGACTGACTTTCGCTATGCATGATTTAGTTAGTGGTAGAAAATAGTTTGTATGAACTATTTCCTGACCCCTTTTCTTAATACTAAGCAGACCATTCAGCTGGAGATAAGCTGGTTCCCATGGGAAACCCCCTTTCCCCATCTTCAAGTCAGACAGATCGTCCTAGACTTAGGAGTTCGTGTCCTCACGCGGCGAGTACTTTATTTCGTTCCAAGTCTGGTCTGATCAGTGACAGGAAAGCCCCACAAGAGCCTCCTACTACCTTTGCCTATGTTAGTTGTCGAAACCATGTACCCCACGGGAGCACCGGATCACTTCTTAGATCTAGCCTGTAAGTTATCAAGGAAATCGCCCGACAACTTCCCATTACCAACGTTGAAGTCAAACAAACATTTCATCAAATTGTTACTTAGTCGGGTGAATGACATGGTAATTCGCATGGGAATATCTCATCATTCACCTTAGTCAGTCCATGCAAGTTGCGTGACGACTCCACGGGAGCCTCCATTACACGGCTTTGTCTCCCAAACCCAAGCAGACTAGGTTCCTTCTCGGTTTTTCTAGGTTCCTTATTTACTTCAGACAAGGTTCTTACTTCATGCATATATTCATCCACCCTTTCTGAAAGTTTTACTCTTGAAGAAAGCAAGAAGATGTATAACACACATTCATTCATGCAGTCTGATAGAGAGTTGTAACTAGTAAGGGATAAGGGAAAGGAGCGAGTCATGCGTACCTTATGTTCCCTGCCTCCAGAGTTCCTCCTGAACTTCGGCAGAGCTCCCGCAATCGCCCTGTTTATCGATCATGTCTAGTCTTTGCATTTAACTCTCTGGATCTTAAAGTTAACAAACAAGAATTATCTCGGTGAAAATTATTATTAGACACTTATAGTCGAAGAGAGAGACGTCTGAGAGGATCAATCAAAGACAAGAATCGCGGAGGATGGAGGAGCTAGGCACCATCACACAGTGATAATGTCTCTCTCCTCTTCAATGCTCGCACTCTCTTCCTTTCTGACCCCTGCTTATCTCATGATGTTTCAATAGTGAAACATCAACCAATAACAATAATAAAATAATAATAATTATAATAATTATAATAATTATAATAATTATAAAAATAATAATACCAGTATTACTACTGGTAGTATCAGAAGGTGAGTGTGCAAAGGAGAAATGACTGATCCCAGATTGCTAAGTCACATTGAAACCCAAAAAATCGAACATTGTCCGGAAAGCAGTAATGCACCGCTGCTACACCAACGGAGAATGAGAACACTTCATCAGATTGTCAATGGGAGCATATGCTCCCGCCGTCACCAACATATGTATGTCGAATCCTCCTTCCTACTTAGTGTCTAGATAAAGATCACACAGATTACTAGCAGTCTACGAGTTGACAACGCATTCAGTTGACATCAGGAGTAGAACCGGAGTATATCATGATGATGACCCTTACCGACCACCGCCAAGATCAGGTACGTACCCTTTCTTTTACCACCTTCACCTTTCTCTCTTTCTCTCTCTGTGCGGGCGCCTGTCTGTTTGTACCAGTCTGTCTGACTGTTTGTGTCTGTTTGATTAACCAACTGTATCTGTTTGGTTGCCTGACAGTGTCCATCTGCTCATTTGTTCGTCTCTGCCCGACTGTTTGTTTGTGTGTCGGCGTCCGACTGTCTTTTTATCCGCCTACGTTTGTCTGCATTTGTCTCTTCTTCCTCCCTTCTTTTCTCTCTCTTTCCTGTGTTTGTCTTCTCTTTTGTATGTCGATTTGTCATTGTCCGTCTGTCTGTATTTGTCTGTCTGTTATCACCTGTTAAATCTGTTTCTATTTGTTTATCTATCGCTGGATGTCTGTCTGACTATATGTTTGTTTTGTATCTGTATGTTTCTGTCCGTGTCTATTCGTCTTGTTTGATTGTTTGTCTGGCTGTTTGTGTCCGTCCATTTGTTTATCGGTCAGCATCTGTTTATGTCTGTCTCTGTTTGTCTGCATCTATTTGTCCGAGTCTGTATCTGTTCCTCTCTGTCTGTCGCTTCACCTTCTGTTGCTTACTATCCCTCCTCTTTAAGATCCAGATGCGCCTATTTGTTGTTATTTGTCTGTTTCTGTTTGTCTGAATGTCTGTGTTGGTTTTTCTGATTGCTTGTGTCTGTTTGATAAAATATTTGTATCCGTTTGTCTGTTTGTGTATTTCATATTTGTTTGTTTCAGTCTGTTTTCATGTCTATTTATTCCTGTTCGTCTGTCTTTGTTTGTTACGTATGTTTGTCTGTGCCTGCCTTTCTGTTTGTTTGTTCTGTGTCTGGTTGTCTCTTCGTCCGGCTGTTTGTTAGTCTCTCTTCCTGCTCTTCGCTTCCCTCTGGAGTGCACTCCTTTGCTAACCCCATCCCGTTGTTTCCTCCGTCCACATGCCTATCCCTCATCTTCTCCGGCATGCCCATCTCCGCATCTCTTCTACAATGATCCTCTCAGCTCAATACCAGTGAGCGCACATATTCACAACACGCTTATGTTTGGGATCACACGAAGTTCACACTGAAATCCAGAGAGATTTGGACTAGGTAGCGTAGCTTAAAAATTTCAACGAGTATTTACAAGAGCAATAAGAGTTTCAGTCACCAACGCTGAATAACGCAAACAACTGATAACCAGTTGCCAGTACCAACTAGCAGACAAGTATCCTCCTCTCTCTTTATTTTCTCTTAAAATGCCTTTCTCTTCGCTGGTCTTCTCTCAAGTCATGCCCTCGCTGTGTTTTCTCTCCCTACATGCATGCACACTTACGATCCTTACTGAAGGATCTTCTCCGGATATACCCACTGTCTACTCCACTAATCTCTATGAAGCCTACTGCTAACTGCTAGTACTAATACTTCTGCACTGGCGCAGCTATGGCTGTCTTCTCCCCGCCAGACGTCTTTTTCCTCTCTCTCAGTCACTTAGCGCAACACTCTGGCTTCAGCGCTCTGGTCCTCACCTTAGCGCACAAGTGCACCAACACCTCCACGCTATTGGCGAATGAGCAATCTGCCCGAATGGAAATCTGGGCAGCCCCTTTGTAGCCTTGTATTGCACTCCAACTCGTGCCAGCCTCTGCTTCTCGGGTCTGACTGAGTCCCTGCACCACATCCCCACAGCCTATCTGCTTCAGATAGTCGAGGCCTACAACCTTCTTGAATTTTTATTGACCTGCTGTTGCTTGGGTCTTTGAGTCATGACTTTTCACTTGTGAATGTGACTTTTGACTGTGGACAATGACTCCTACCCCTGGGACATGACTCTTGCCTGTAGTACTACTATTTTGCTCGTGGGATGTGACTTTTCAATACGACTTTTCTTTATGAGACGTGATTCTTGCCCCTAAGATGTGACTGTTGGGTGCCTGTTAGACCGGACTACTAAAGTGCCCAACTGTGACTTTTTTGAATCTGATGAACTTTGCTACCCTTGACCAGGGCTCATGACCTTCAGACCCGAATTTGGGGTCTGAATCGTAAAGGTCCTTTTACTGATAATAATAATAATAATAATAATAATAATAATAATAATTAATAATAATCATAATGCCAAATAATAATAAAATAAAATAAAATCAAGTCAAATAACAATGTAAGGAAAATGAGCAATACCAATTTCCAGAAAACCAAGCAGCATCATACACATGGAACCAGAGAGTCGTGACCTCGAACCAAAAGCAGAATTGTATCACGAGTTCCACCACATAAAAATACAGCATATGTTCACAAGTGACAATGCTGGATGAGTCTCGTTATCATCACAATGAAACAATGTCGAACTCTTATCTTGCGCTCAACGCCCAGATTACGAATGACAAATCCTATCTAGCCTATCGACAATGCCGCTGATGACGTCATCAACACCCCTCCCTCAGTATGAGCGGATCTCGACGAATGCCGTTCGCCTCAAGCACCAGGTAAGTCTCACGCATCGCTCATCAACCTTGATCTCCCACACAGACGCCACATGCACTCAAGGACCACCATGCGCCCCGCCCTGCTTAGCGTAGGGCAGCTCAACCATAGTTGTTCGCGTTTCCTACTCGCCCGTTTATCTTTTATGTCTTGCTGATGTATTTGGTCGTTTACACGACCAGATTCAACTAAACTAAACACGAACCTATTCGCAGTTCCCTCCTTTTCTCGACTCCCACTCTCTCACTTTCACTTACACACACACACGCAAACACATGTGTGCGCCCGCACGTGCAAATGCGTTATTCAAGCTTATCAGGTGACACGCCAGTAGTGAAGCCAAGCTCGATCGTTCCAAGACAACATGTACTGCCCAAGCTATGAGGATGATCACGACTCCATCAACTACGAAGGTGGCGATAACAGTTGGTGATGGTAACCACGATGAGTGTCGGGAACGACCTCGATAAATGTGAGGAACATTCGCGGATAAGAAAGAAGATGACCACTACTTGATGACCAAGAAGACTGCCTGCGACGACGGAAAAAAATGACGATTGTGTGTCAACGAAGGGGACCAATCGGAAATGAGGAGAAATGACCACAGACATCCTCTTCCCATCGTCGTATCCTTCGTTCGTTTAGCTCCTCACCCTTTTTCCTTCACTTCGATTTTTCTCCTACCCCTTCAGCGACTCATAACAGAAAACTCCACCTACACACCCTTTGCCAATTTCAAATGTATCTGGTCGCAATGGTGGGTATATTTATTCGATTTTACTCATACTATCGACGAAAGTAACATGCCTCCATTCACGCGATTGGTGACTTACATACTCTTTCTCTCTTTCTCTCTCCCTCTCTCTCTCTTACA